CAGAGCCAGGATGAACAGGAAGGGATGCAGTGTGGCCCGGCAGAGATAACAAGCTGAAGATGTGGCCAGGCAGAAGAGGCTACTGAGGGAGGCTGTTTACATGAGAAAAGAGAGCCATTATTACAGCCACAAGAGCAGAAGAACCAGAGGGCAGGACTCCCCCTTGCTCCTCTGGTCCCAATCACAGGAAATACGTGTTTTTGTTTTTGTTTTTGTTTTAAATCCCAAATAAAAACAAATAAGCCCTAAGAGACAAAAACAATCATTCACTTAGTGTATTAGTTTCCCATCGCTGCCGTAAGGAATTAGCCCACATGAATTGGCTTTAAAATTTTATTCTGTTCCAGTTCTGGAAGCCAGAAGTATAAGATGAGTTTCACTGAGCTAACAAGGGACTGGCTCCTTCCAAAGGCTCTGAGGGGAAATCTTTTTCTTTGCCTTGTTCAGCTTCTGGTGGCCGCTGGCATTCCTTGGCTTGCAGCCCCTTCCTTCATCTTCAAAGTTCATCGCTCCAGTTACTGCTTCTGTCACCACATTGCCTTCTTCTCTGTCTCCTCCTGCATCCCTCTTATAAGGGATATTGTGATGTTGGACCCACCAGACCATCCAAGATAGTATTCCCATCTCAAACACTTTAACTTAACCCCAGCTACAAAGTCCCTTTTGCCACACAAGGTGGCATTCACAGGTTTCTGGGATTAGAACTTGGGTAGACTTTGGGAGCCATCTTCTATATCACAATTTAGGCTACACAGCTAGCACCTAAGAGGTGGTCATTTGTTGAAGGGGTAAAATGGAAATAAATATTTTTCAAGGTCAAAAAGCTAAGAGAAAGTCCACAACAGCCTGGGAACTGTTTAGAGAGCAAATGCTCATTAAACATCAACTTGGTCAGGATGTCGGTTCCGCCAGGGGAGTTCAGCAGTGAGGGGACGTGGTACTGCACAGGAGACGCTGTCATGTGGGGCAGAGTCTCTATATACTTCAACCGGGACAACAGATGTTCCTTTTCTTCTTTTCAGTAAGCACTTTCGGAAGGCCTGTTCTTTGCCAGGCCCTATTACCAAGCTGGGCATTTAAAGAGTGAGAGGTACTCAGAGTAAACTGCAAGGGATTAGGAGAAGATACCGGTAAGCTAAACTCCAAGCAGTAGGAGAGAAAGTGAGGGACTCATATAAAAAGTGTGTATAGGAGTGCTGAGGAAGAAGGGACTCTCTGCCCTGTCAATATTACTGGGAGTCCAGATAAGTCCAATAAGCCTTTTACCCTGCTGTAAGACTGGTAAAGGAGGATGTGCTATCTGGCTCTTTGTTAGCATGGAAGACTGTGCAGGGAAAATAAGAAGGGAGAATGGAGGGAAGAGGCAAACTACTAAGAAAGCCACAGGAAAAAGAGAGGTGACTTTTAATTCCAAATGCAAATATACTTTTGATTGATCCCCTCAAAAAATGACGTTCATTCTTTCATTCATGCAATAAATATTTATTGAGCATCTACCAATTGCCAGACACTATTCTACCTGGGGTACAGCAGGAGTTGAAACAGACAAAGCAAGTCTTGGCCTCTTGGAGCTGCCATTACAGTGGAGAAAGGCAGTGAACAAGTAGGTAAGATATGGATAAGATGTGGTGGAAAGTCTTACGGAGCTAAATTAATCAAGGAAGCAGCATAGAGCTCTGATGGAAAGGACTGTTCTGTCCTTTAGTACTTATAGAGCATCTACCACGGGCAGTGTGCTAAATGCTGCAGGGCAGAGATGAATCTATTCATTCAGGACAGTCCCTATGCTAAACCCTGGGGAAGCCAGCTTTCTGACCTCAGTAGAATTTCCAGCCAAATGTGAGAATCAGTCCTTTATTGATTGAATCTTTAAGATGTATAATTATAAACTGAAGTGAAAGCTATGACTAGAATGTAATGTATACATCTACTTAAATTGGGGACAAGAGCAAGCATCTCTGAGGAAGTGATATTTGAGCCGAGACCCAATGAATATATAAGAGTGGGTGATATAAACACTCGTTATAAAAGATTATAATTAGAACAGGGATGGGGCAACTAGCTTAATGTAAGAGAACAGAGAAGCTAGAACTAGACCTGTGCATATATAAAAAGTGATATATGACAGCGATAGCGTTGCAGGTTAGTGGCCAGGGACAAGCAATTCAATAAATGTTACCAAGACAACACGTTATCCACATGGCAAATATTGAATTGGATTCCTGCTTCAAACCATACACAGAAATCAGTGTCAAGTGGTTGAGAGACTTAAATGTGGAAGAAAAAAACTTTAAATTTTATCAGAAAAAATATAAAATCTCTTTAGAATATTTGGTATAAATAGGCAAGTTACAAAAAGCACTGACCATAAAAATTGAAGATTAAAACATATGACTACATTGCAATTACCAACTTCTATTAGTCAAAATACATCCAGGGAGTGATAGAAGACAGAGAAAAAAAGAAAGGTAAGATAAGTTGCAAACTGGGAGAAAACATTTGTAAATCCTATAACTAACAAAGAAGTAGTCTTTAAAATATATTTTAAAAAAAACAGTAAGAAAATAAGGTACAACTCAACAGAAAAATGGGTACAAAGCATTAACACAGATTTTTTCCCCCCCAGAAAAAGAAATTCTGTGGGAAATAAGACCTCTGTAGGTTCACAGGCCATCTCTTTACTTTGATTATATTGCAAATAATAATAATAATAATAAGATATCTGACAATAATATCCTGGCACCTACAGGTGTTAGGCGAGGTGTCCATTACAAATGGGCCTGTGGTGTGTGTTTGCAGGTAGGGGTAGGTTAATGGGATGGGAATCTATTGCTTGGCTCCTGTCTCATTCATGTCCAGGAGGCAGGAATCTATCTTTGCCACTGGGATAGGTGAACTGATGCGGGAGCAGAGTGAGCAAGATTCTCAAATACACTGTGAAGACACCCCTCATAACCGGCATGCCTGCCATTCTGCTTCCCATTTATTACTGGGTACCTGTCATCTCTCTCCCCCAATAATAAATGAATGAATGAGCACCTTGAATAATGTCTTTTTACACTGGATCACACCCCTACCTCACCCTTACAAACACCTCGCCCTGGACCAGGCTCAGACTAGGAGGATGAATAGATACATGCTTCTTAGAATTGGCCTAAATTCCCAGCTCCTTTACCTGCATCCCTTCCCTCCCACCAGACGTCCAGCCTCCCTCCAGCCAGGAGAGGACAGGGCGCTCTCCATGGGGCAGCTCAGAGCTTTGCAGGGAGAAGACCAGGCTGGAGAGGGGGCCACGTTACAGGTAAGGCCAGGGATGCTTCTCCAGGAACGAGGAAGCCCCCAGCAGGGGAAGCCCCTGGATATGCCGCTGGCCCTGGCGGCGCGGGGCAGGTGCAGAGCCAGAGTCACGCGAGAAAGAACCTTCCAACGCCGCGCCGCGGGCCGGGGAAGGGGCGGGGGTCACCCGGCAGGGCCCCGCCGCGCGCCGCCGCCGGCCGGTCAGGGCACGCGTCGCCCGCCCCGCCCTCCCTCCCCTCCCGCCGGCGTCCCTACCTGCCCGCGAGGCTCGGCCGTCGGTCCGGCGGAGCTGCAGGTCGGCGGCCCCCAGTCAGCGGGCCCGCGGGGTGGGGACCGCGCCCCAGCCCCGCTTCATCATGTTCGGCGACTCTTACCGGGTGGGCTCCCGGGGCAGGGCGGCCGGCGGGAGAGGCGCCGCGGACCGGAGGCGGGCGGGGGCCGGGAAAGCCCGACGGCGTCCCGGGGTCTTGCGGGGGGACGGGGAGAGGTCCGGGGGCGGACGGAGGGGCGGGGAGGCGGGTGGAGGGGGCGCGGTGCGTGCGGGGCGGGGCGGGGCGGGGCGGGGCGGCGGGGCGCCGGGCGGGCGGGAGCGGTGGGGCCGGCGGACCTGTCCCGAGTCTGGCCCCCGGGGATCGCCGGGGTCTGCAGAGGAGCAGGCGGGCCGGGCGGGATGGAGCTGGAGACCGGGCGGAGGCTGACAGGGGAGTGCCGTGTCCTCCTCCTCCTGCCTGGGAGGTGTTGGCGTGTCCCCAGAAAGCTAAGATCACGGCCCGAAACCGGTTTGGTTCAGTGGCTAGAGCTTCAGCCTGCGGACTGAAAGGTCCCGGGTTGGATTCTGGTCGGGGGCATGTGCCTTGGTTGCGGGCACATCCCCAGTGGGGGGTGTGCAAGAGGCAGCTGGTCAATGTCTCTCGATGTTTCTAACTCTCTCTCTTCCTCTCTGAAAAAAATCAATAAAATATATATTTTAAAAAAATTTTTTTAAAGCTAAGATTATGGAGCATCCCAGCTCCTGCCCTACACTGGATGCCGCTGGATGCTGGGAGCAGTGGGTGAGGGGGGGAGGGGGAGGAGAGCCCTCCCCTGCCCAGCTCTCAGCCAAGCTCACCTCTGGAGATGCCACACCCAGTCTCCCTCTCTAAGTTCTGTCTTTGGGGGCTGTGTGGCCTTCATTTCAAACTGTATGTCAGAAGCAATGCCAAAGTCAACCGCTCCACCTCCAGGAGGGGCCTCCCAGGGATGGCACCCTTGGCTGTAGCGAGGATGGAGGAAGATGGGCAGGAAGGGCCTGGCAGCATTAGCACTCCCAGGCCATCTGCTTGGCGGGCTCAGGAAGCCTGAAACATGCCACCTCATCTGACCTGCAACTGACCCCACCCCCGCGGGGTCCCGTGTTCCCCGCCCCCTCCCCTTTCCCCCCCCCTCCCCGCACCCCCTCTCTCTCCTCCTCCCCTCCTCCCCCCCACCACTCAGGCTGCTTTCTCTTTTAGTGTCTTTCCCTCTGCCCAGCTTCCCTCAGGCACACCCCAGCGTGTATGCACTGGGTGTGGAGAAGGCTCCTGTGTGTGCCTGAGAACGGTCCTGCCAAAGGCAGGCAGGACCTGAGGCGCCCTGCTCGCACTGTGTCTGGCTAGGACAAGGCCCTGATCGTTACCTTCGCCACCGTCATTGGGCTCACGGTGCTTCTGTTGGCCCTGAAGACCATGAACTCAAGGAGGAGGCAACTTGCCATCACCTTACAGAACCCTGAAACCAAGTATCCGCTGCCCCTGATTGAGAAAGAGGTAATGGGTCAGAGGCAAAAGAGAGGAGGGCAGAGGGGTGGGGAAGGTGCTGAGCTGGGAAGGCAAGGCTGTGGGGCAGACATTCAAGGCTTCATCGCTGCCATTGTGTGTGTGTGTGTGTGTGTGTGTGTGTGTGTACCTGGGAAGGCACCAACTGGGGCTCCTATCCCAGGCATCTGGGCTCCCCAGCGCAGCTTCTAGCAAGCGGACAGAGCCTGCCTTTGTTTTCTGTTTTATCAGCAAATCACCCACAACACCAGGAGGTTCCGCTTTGCACTGCCCTCAACAGAACATGTTTTGGGGCTTCCTGTAGGTGAGTGGTGTTTGGTTTCAGGCCTTCTCAAAGATTTTGGTTTATGTTCCTGAAGGTATTGGAATGACTGGCCCCCTCCAGGGCCCCTTCCCTCTTACTCTTCCCCCTTTCCCTCCTCCTCCCCCTCCCCCTCCCCCTCCTCTCTGTCTCTCTCCTGGTCTCTACCTCGGTCTACATATCCACTCCCTTTCCTGTGTACAGTTTCTACTCCCTCAGGCACCCTGGCACAGAGCTTCCTCTGGCTTCCGTCTCTGAGCATCTCTATTGCCACTTCTGCCTTCACCACTGATTAGCTGAAGTCTCCCTGTGAGAGCCAGCAGAGATCTGAACGGCCCAGCTCATCACGTGGCCTGGGGTGTAGTTGCGATCCGTAGGTCTCTGGCCACAGCTAGTCCCTTCATTTCCACCCTGGAGGGTCAGGATGACATGGTTCAAAACTTCACCGCTGCCCCTCAGCAGAGCCATTGCCCAGGAAGGCACAGTGCTCTTTCTAGAACTTCTGGTGTTCAAATCCTGGGGCTTTGCATACCTGTGAGCCCAGGTGTTCTTCGTGCCAGGCAACAGGTTACAGTTGAGGGGCCTGTGACTCATTCGCTGACCCCCGTGGTGCATCCAGCTTAGGAAGAAATGACTTTGTGATGGCAATATATCTTGCTTTAAAAGGGACACACCCCTTTCTGTAATTTTTTAATGCTCAGCCTCCCAACCATGAGCTCTGCTCATTTGACACGGTGAGCCCACACTAGCTAGCAACAGGTTTCCTGTGAGTGGAGCTGACAACCACACTATGATGGAGGAAGGCAGGGATACGGTCCCCAATCATAGAGATGCTCAGAGAGATGACGTGACTTGTACAGGAGTGACACATGGAGTGACAAGGACAGGCCTAGCATTCCCACATCTGCACTGGGGCTCCTTCCCTGCTTGGCCCTCCTCCCGTGCACCCTGCCCCACTATGCACCCACCCACCTCCTGAGACTCAGCCCTTTAGGGGAGTTCTGAGTCCTATTTAGGCTGGCCACGCCGACTTGCCGTTTGATGCCTTTTTGTAGGTAACTATGTCCAACTCTTGGCCAACATTGATGGTGTCCTGGTGATCAGATCATACACACCTGTGTCCAGTGATGATGACCAAGGCTTTGTGGACTTAATTATAAAGGTAAACAGTGCCCCCCCCCCATGTCCAGGTGCCTCACCCTCATAAGCCTATCAGGGTGATGGGGTGGAGAAGAGACTTTCCCTAGACAGTGCCCTTTAACAGTGAAGCCACTGACCTGGTGTAATCTCCGGCCTGAGTTGCTCCAATCGTGAGTGCAGGGCACTTTCTGCATGGTTTCCAACAGCAAACGTGTAAGGTGTGTGCGGTGGTGGTTTGCACAGCCTCGGGTCTGAGGCTGTGCAAACCAGGCTGCCTTCTTTTTCAGATCTACTTCAAAAATGTGCACCCGAATTATCCAGAGGGAGGGAAGATGTCTCAATACTTGGACAACATGAAGATCGGGGACACCATTTTTTTCCGAGGGCCCACTGGGCGCCTGTTCTATCACGGGCCAGGTACTGGGGTTCACCCTGGGACTCCCATGGGGAGGAAGGAGATTCCTATAGTAGTTGCATTGTTCTAGGAAACGCCTCGGATTTGAGTCCCATGGATCACACACTCCTTCACATACCATTTCACAAGCCTGTAGGCGCCATCCAACCAGGGGAGTGGTTATGTGTTTCCTCATCTCTGTATCCCCAGCAAAACACCTGATGCATAAAAAGTAACCCACTACTGTTGAAAAACGGGTGGATGGAGTCCACACTCATTCATTTGCTCCCATATGTGTCACTCACTTGCTGCTGTGGGTGGGAGCACTGTGTGAGGCTCCCTAGCCACTCTCTAGTGGAACCTTCCTCCTTCCTCAGAAGAAAAGATCCAGGATGGCCCAGCCTCTATTCCCACTCTGTGCACGGGTGCACCGGGCTGGCCATGGAGGTCGCTCTGGCTTAAAAGGGTGCAGCCACATCCCCCGAGAAGTCCCAAGGAAAGGGCAGTGCTGTTTTGCAGGCTCTCAGGCAAGGACTCTAGTAGTGAGCAGCATCCTCTGTGTTTCCAGGGAAGTTTTCGGTCAAAGCGTACAAAACGAGTAAGCCCGAAGAAAAACGAGCCAGTCACCTGGGAATGATCGCTGGGGGCACAGGTAAGAGGCTTCTGAGGGCTTCGTCCTAGGTGAGCCCTGAGCCGTTTCTGACCTTTGAATCCTTGGATCCTAGAAGGGGAGATGGGAGTGAGTCCTCCCCTGGCTGATTCAGACGGGAGTGCAGGTCAGTGCTAGGCCGTGGCCCTGACCCTGTGCACCCTGCTTCCCGTCACAAACACGGTGGGGGAGGCCCCCCAGGAGCCCGGGGGAGCCACTAAAGCCAGGCTGGGGACAGGGATGAGGCTAAGGACCAAGCCGGGGAGGCCCACACGTGGTCCCCAAAGGACTCCTAGCTCCAGGTCAAGCCTCACCCCCGTCTTTTTATATAAATTTCTGAAAGAAGAGAACAAACATGTAAGGAGAACTCCAACTAGCCAGGCACCGTGATAGGCACTTTTAAAACTATTACAATTACTCATCACAAATTCTGTTTCACAAACAAGGACCCTGAACTGCTCAGACAGGTACTTGAGAACCACCCTGGTCAGATAGCAGGAGAACTGGGCATGGAACCCAGTTCCCAAACCAAAACCAACGCTCCTTCCATCCGGCCATACAAAAATGAGAAAAGGAAAGCCAAAACGAAGGGCAGTTCCCCCACTGTGAGTTTTGGGGACCCAAGTGAGAAAAGCAGACCTGGGGTCCAGCGGCTCCAGACCGGGGACTGTGGGCAGCCGCGAGGGCGAGCTGGCCTGCTGCACACTGTGTTCCAGGGATCACGCCCATGCTGCAGCTCATCCGCCACATCATCAAGAACCCGCGCGACAAGACCAGGATGGCCCTCATCTTCGCCAACCAGGTCAGTTTTGCCGAGTCTGCCCTGGGCTGGCCGGGGTAGGATGGATGGAATGTCTGCAGAACAGGGCTCCGCATTCTCCCCGCCCTGCACTGAGCCCAGGCCGCTTGGTGCCTGCGGCTGTGGGCGGGCCAGTGGGCTGCTGCTGGCGGTGGAGAAGCTAAATCCTGGCCTGTTTCCCCATTTGTTGCTTTTTTCAAACTCTTGTCTCCCCAACCAACCTAAGCACCCTGCTTTCCTTCCTTTCTTAGTACTTCGTTCTATGATAATCTGAGTATAAAATCATAGCAGCGCTCCCTGCAAATTTTGGAATATACAGAAGCATATAAATATTTGACTTATTGTTGTCTTTTTTTTCCTCTGCACACTTTATATGTATTTACAGTTATATATAAATATATATAAATATATAAATATAAATATATATATATATATGTATATATATATATATGTATATAGTTGTGTGTTTTTTTAGTCAACATTACCATACAGGTATCTTCTTCTCATGAAAGCTCTTTATAAATATTTTCATTATGGTCTATATCAAGTTGCACCATCATTTACTAAATTTTCCTTTATATATATATAGATAGATAGATAGAGAGAGAGAGAGAGAGAGAAGGGGGGGGGGGAAGGGAGAGAGATAGAGAGCTAGAAACGTTGATGAGAGAGAAACATCGACCAGCTGCCTCTTGCACACCCCCTACTGGGGATGTGCCTGCAACCAATGTACATGCCCTTGACCGGAATCGAACCTGGGACCTTTCAGTCCGCAGACCGACGCTCTACCACTGAGCCAAACCGGTTTCGGCTCATTTACTAAATATTCTACATTCAGATTGTTTTCAGTTATAAATGATGGTGATGAAGAATTGTACCTTGACTTGGTCACTTTTGGGATTATTTTCTTAAACAGAATCACAGAGATGGAATTATGAGGATCAGAATGATGAGTTTTAGGACTCCAGGTCTCTGCAACATCTCCGAGCCTGTGACAAGTTTCTTTAGGCTTTAGCTTGCTTTTCCCCACATGAGGCTCTAGCTTTGTTTTTCTCTTTAGCTCTCTAGTGACCGAATAGCCAGTCACTATATATTTAAGTGACCAAATAGCCAGTCACTATGATGCGCACTGACCACCAGGGGACAGATGCTCAACACACAGGATCAGACTCCCTCCTGTCCAGATTGGGCCTGCGGGGATTGGGCTGAAAACAGCTATCCGACATCCCCCGAGGGGTCCCGGATTGTGAGAGGGTGCAGGCCAGGCCAAGGGACCTTACCAGTGGGGTCCTATGGCCTGGCTGGTGATAGGGGCCAATCCAGCTGGCTCAGGGGAGGGGATCACGGGAGGTTGGCTATGGGAGTATACTGACCATCAGGGGGCAATTCCTGCATTGATCATCTGCCCCCTTGTGGTCAGTGAGCGTCATAGTGACCGATGGACTGGTAGTTTGGTCATAACGGTCACTTAGGCTTTTATATATATAAATACAGATTATATCATATCATATCATATCATATATCATGTCATATTACTATATTATATATCGCTGCCTTTTTCTCTTCCATTCCCTGCAGAAGATCCTGGGCCCACACTAAGCTCGCTTCAGCTGGGTTTGCTGAGCCTGGTGCTCAGTGTGGTTGTGGGAGGTGGGGCTGGGGCCTCTGAGGGAAGCCATCCCACTGCTGTGGAGCCACGGCCTTGCAGCTGGAGGCAGTCACCCAACGGCCCTCACAGGAGAGGGTTTGTTGTGCAGGAGCAGGGCCTGTGGGGAGCACTCCACTAGAGTTTGCGGCAGCCGGGCCAGGAACATGAACATGCTAACCCACACACTCCATCTGAGGGATAAGCAGGAAGTCTCTGGAGGGGCCATGCTCAGGCTGCTTCCTTTTTAGACAGAGGACGACATCCTGATGAGAACGGAGCTCGAAGAAGTCGCCACAACTCACCCGGAGCAGTTCACCCTGTGGTACACCCTGGACAGGCCTCCTCTTGGTACGAACCCCATTCTCCCCACCATGGGTCCTTGACCCACCTCAGGGCTGAGTCCCTGGGTGTGTGTGTGTGTGTGTGTTTATTAGGACAGGGTTTGGGGGTTGAGAACTTGGGCTCTACCTCCCACGGAAAATTCAGGAATTTGAAGAAGGGGAACTTTGGAATGACCTGCTTGCAAAGGCGGTCAAGGGAAGGTGTCCGACATCTCAGCGGAACGTCACACACTGCACCGAACATCAGGAGGGACACCGAGGCACTGGGTCACCCTGAACACTTACCTTGCGCTCTGCACACATCCCATGGAGGCGTCAGGCCTCTAACCCCTTTTCCATCCTCAGCCGTGCTCACTGCAGGCAGACTCCAGCCAGAGGCCTCGGAGCCTGGGACCTGGAGTAAACTGCGGCCTGCCTGGGGGTCCCACGTCCTCCACTTCTCTGCTTTCTGCAGAGAACAGTGGTACACACTTCTGAGTCTTGGAGAGCAGCCTGGCCTCCCTCTCCCTGGCTTTAGGGACAGCAAGAGGCCTGGGGCCAGAGTCTCGCCCTGGGGCCTCCCCAGCTCTCCTCTGCTTACCCTCAGACTGGAGATACAGCACGGGCTTCATCACCGCCAACATGATCCAGGATCACCTGCCTGCTCCCAGCAAGTCCACGTTCATCCTGGTGTGCGGCCCACCACCCCTGATCCAGACAGCCGCTCACCCGAACCTGGAGAAACTGGGCTACCCCAAGGACATGATCTTCACCTACTAACACCCCCTTGCTCTTAGTGAACGTCCCCGGCCCCTTCCATCTGACTCACAGGGAGTTCAGCGTCACCACGTTTGGAAGTGCCTTGGGCACCCTGGGGCTCACTGGAGCCACTCTCCTTGGGGTGGGCCTATGAAGGGATTAAGGGGCTGGAGACGAAGTGGCCTCGGGAGCCTCGTTGCCCGGGGGAGGCTCGGAGGGATGTCATCCTAGGACCTTTCCCCTTGGCTCGGTGAAATAAACGTCAGTACAAAGCAGATAGCCCAGGGAGTGTGGCTCCGTGCGGGACCCGCCAGGCACTCAGAAGGCCCTGGCCTGCCCTCCGTGTGCACTGGCTGGAGGGCAGAACTGGCAAAGGTGCCAGGGCAGAATTTCGGAAGAATCCAATTGGAGTCATGATAACGCCCAGTAATCTCTTTTGACTGCCCTCCCCATCTCCACGCCCATACACGTTTGTTTTTATAATTCTCACTTGATATTTTTTTCATTGATTTTGAGGGAGAGTGGAAGAGGGCAAGAGAAAGAAATATCGATGTGAGAGAAACGCATTGATTGCCTCCTGCAGGGACCCTGATCAGGGGAGGAGCCTGCAACCGAGGTATATGCTCTTGCCTGGAATCGAACCTGGGACACTTCGGTCCACAGGCTAATGCTCTATTCACTGAGCCAAACTGGCTAGGGCCACAGTGTTTTAAGATCAGACCTACGAGAGGGCTCAGGCACCCACCGTGAGCACCCGCCCTTCTCCTGCGCGAGACCCTAGAAGGAGGAATGGTGTTAAGAACACACATGCCAGGGCAGGGGGTAGACCCATGGGGTAGGAGGGCTCCAGGAACCCTAGACCCCCTGCACTTTGCACAACAAATGGAGTGAATTTTTGCTGGCATCCTCTGAATGCCAGGCCCTGTTCTGGTGAGGTGGGTAGGGGTGGTCACAGGCAGAAGCTTCCGAGCTTGCAAACAAAATGAAATTCCAGAAGCTATTCCTTAAATCCTTCCTATCACTAACCCCAAAGGCTATATATAACCCTTACCATCTGATGCTCACGGCTAGGACATGCTCCTGCTCTGTTACCTGTGAGGGGGTAGACCCCCTTCTGCTCTCGATTTTGTTTAATTCTCATAACAAGGCACAGAGTCTGTGGAGATTCTGTTCTTTAGGTTATAGAGGAAAAGGAAACGGAGCCTCAGAGACAGAGTTACTATCCCCAGGTTGTTCAGCCAGCAGGTGGCAGAGGTGGGCTTTAAACCTGGGTCTGTTTCATTCCAAGTCACTTCCTTCCCTTCTCACAAACACTGGCAGAGCAGCGGCAAGGCCAGACCTTGATTTTGCTGGACTTCTTACTCAACACTTATATGGATTAGTGAGGGGGAGAGGGAGGGCGGGCTACAGGAGAGAGAGGGACACCGCTCTAGGGAACAGCTTTGTAGCACCCACAGGGTGGCCCCCCTGGGGTACCTCCCAGCGGGCAGTGGGGCGGGCTGCTGGGAGGCAGCCAGCCCCATTCCTCTGTGTGGTCAGCATGTCCTCAGGGATTCCCTTCCTCAGAGAAAGATACTCTGCATGATGAGTAGATTCTACGCTGGGATATTTTTCTTAAACACAAATGTTACCTGGCTTGTCTCCTGCTTTAACCTCTTACTCATCCCCACTTGGCTACCTGGGTTTCCAGGATAAACTCCAGGGCCTGGCTTACAAGGCCTTTCCTGATGTGGCTCCAGCCAGCTCACCAGATTTCTCTTTCCCCCCGGCCTCCCACTCTCACCTCTTCTCTGGCTCAGCAGTTCTCAGCTAGAGGGGATCTTCCCCCCAAGGACTATTTGGCCGGCTTGGGAGACAGTGTTGGCTGTCACAGCGGGAGAAGAGTTGCTTATTGGCACCTAGAGGGAGGCCAAGGGCGCGGCTAATGGTCCCAGAGCACACAGGACAGCCCCCAGGACAGTAAACAGCCCAAACGCAGCAGTGCGGGGCCGAGAAACCTGTCTTCACATGACTTCCCAGGATGGGCCGAGATGCTTCAGGTCCATCTGTCCGGCGTGCCTGCCCGCTTGGCAGGGCTGGGGAGCCTGCTTCATCTTTCAGAACTCCGTGATCACTTCTTCCTCGGAGCCTCTTTGGTCCCGGCCCCCAGTCCTGTCCTCCATTTGAAATAACTTGCTGTTGGGGCTGAAGGGACCGCTATTAGTGCCCCTGCAACACCGGCACTCTCCTGTTTGAGACGGACCTGTGAGCCCTCTCGGGACCATCTGCACCCTTAGGAAAGGACCTTGGCACTCTACCCCTCCTTGGTCCAGCACGAAAGGCACTTGACCTGCACACATACAAAGGAGTGTGTGTGTATATATGTGGTGGTGTGTGTGGTGGGGACAGGGAGGGGTTTGCAGCATGGATCCCCTGTGCCCAGTGAGGACCAGGATCGGGCCTTACAATGGGCGTGGAGCCCACCCACAGCAGGCATGCGGTGAGTCTGTGTTGAGGGTGGGCATGTTAAGGGAGAAAGACCACGGGTTACTTCAAGGTGAGCCAGGAAGGGCTCGACCTCAAGGGACACAGGGGCCTCCAACCGAAACACCAGTGAGGGATTCCTGAAGGAGGCCGTGTCTTCCCGGCCTCAGCAGGCAGGACTTGGCCTTGTGGCGGGGGCTGGGAGAAACACACACCCACAGTGAGGGGAGAGGGAGACAGCAGTGCAGGCGTGGGCACAGGGTCCTGAAGGCTGAAGATTCCAAAGGGCTGGGGGCACTGACAAAGGCTTTTGCGCTCTCCTCTGTGGTCATTCTGGAACTGGGGAGTCCTTAGCCAGAAGCCAACAGGCTTAAAGCAGCGCCGAGGGAAGGTCACTGGGGATGGGGTAGAGGAAGTCTAGAGGGGACCACATAGGAGAACAGCTGTGGAAATAAAATGAGAGGTGGGGCTGAGCTGGAGCCATCACAGGGGGGCGAGGGGGCCAGTCACCAAGGGCAGAGACAGGCTGGGAGGGGACTGTGGGGCAGGGGCGGGGGCTCTCTCCTGAGGTGGGAGCTGCCTGAGGTTCATAGGCTCCCCTGGAAGATGGAGTTGCTTTGGAAATGAGATCCCCGAGGTTCTTCCACTAGGGTGAGCTGTTTGACCAGACAGTTGCATTGGAGGGAGGTGAGGGAAAGGCTGGAAGCTGGGGGCGGTGGGGGAGGAAGAGAAGGTGTATGTGTGCTCTGCTTGCCCAGCTTCACAGAGAACCTGAGACAGGTTTGCTTTGCAGTGGAAGGTAGGCTGAGGGCAGCCAGGGCTGGGAGGGAGTGTCACCGCTCCTTTCCTCTTCTCATCCAGATCCTTCATGGGACCAAGTTCCTGTGAGGGGGAGCCTCTGTCTGGCAGCGCCCAGGGAGGGCCCTGTTAGCCTCTGGCCCAGCTCAGTGACCAATCGCACTCAGAGGGTAGTCTCAGCACTTCTCCAGAAGAGCCTTTATGCACGCTCAGCCCCGCCCTTTGGTAGAAGACAACCCCCCCCCCCCCCCCCCCCCGTGTCTCTCACTCGGTCCCTGGCCACCAGAAACAGCTGTGTCTGCACCCATATCTCACGGCCTCCACACAAAAGGGGTCGCAGCCACGTATAAAAGTACAAAAGGTATAAAAGCTGTGGCGAAGGGCACAGCACTGTTGAAGATGTGGGGCGCTGGGGCCACATCTGTCCAAGCCCCAGTGCCCTGCCGCCAGCACCCATGTCCAGGCGCCCGGCCCGCCTCGGCCTGGCTCTGCCGAGGCTGTGTGCCAGCTGCAGCAGAGCCTGGGGTCCATACGCGCCTCTCTGGCTCTCCGCCACGAAGTCACCTCCAGTCCTCGGAGTTGGGAGCAGCCAGGGGAGAGTCGTTCAGCATCTGGTCCTGGCTCAGCATGGTCTGAAAGGTCACAGCCGAAGGTGCGGTTGGACGGGGTTTGGGTCAAGGCAGCTATGTGGGAAGCAGTGGGCACTAGGGGAGGTCTCACCTGACCCTATAAGTTCATGGTGACCCAGGGACCCTGTGTATTGGGTCAGATCAGACAGCATGATCAAGATGATAAATTGCTTAGGTCAGCGGTCAGCAAACCGTAGCTCGCGAGCCACATGCGGCTCTTTGGCCCCTTGAGTTTTTTGCAAAGCCCAGCTTAGGAGTACCCTAAATTAAGTTAATTATATAGTTTAAGTTTAAAACATCTGGCTCTCAAAAGAAATTTCAATCGTTATACCGTTGATATTTGGCTCTGTTGACTAATGCGTTTACCGACCAATGCCTTAGGTAAAGCTGCTATTTTCAAGGCCACAAGAAACCTAGTAAAGGTGAGAAGGGCAGAGCTGGGTGGAGTCATTTAAGTGGGTGAGACAAGAAAAAACAACTGAATAAAAATGATCCCACTTGGATTCAGGGAGATGTCCTCTGCCCTAATCACACCCTTGAATACAGCCTTTATAACCTGTCTCTATGGGAACCAACAGGACCTGAACTGTATGGGGCCCCCACAACGTGAAGTGGGGATAGCCTCTTCCTGCCTGTTCTAATCTGCCTGTGCATCTTGCAAGGAGGCTAATGTTAGCTTTGCTTCACAGAAACTGAACCAGGGCCCAGAGGAAGAATGACTCGCCCGACTTCCCCACAGGGGCGTGAACCAGGCTAACCTCACTCCCGGGGTGCTCCTTTCCCCGAGACCAGGCTGCCTGCTGGACACGCCAGTATGTGCGCATGTGACTTGATATTCAGGATGTCAGAGGCATGATGGGACATATGTGGGGCCCATAGGCAAAGAGGGTAGAATAGTGCCCACCAGGGCAGAGGTGAGGCGGGGCATTGGGCTGACTGGGCAGGTGACCAGAGCTACTGAGCATCTCGGTTTCCTCACCAGCTCTGAGTCTGGGAAGAGGACCTGAGGCCTGGCGTGCTTTAGTTGGTTTTTAATCGAGGTCCATAACCTTCCCCAGGCCCTGAACTGCTCAGGCCCATAGAGAAGGCATGTGCACCGCCTGCTGCCTAAGGGCTGGCTCAGGCTCTGGC